ATTTGACAGATGTGCATGACTGTGAGCAGAGAAAAAAAATAAATATTTAGTTCAAAGGAACACCGAAAGTTAGCATTTCTCATACTTTTACTGAGTTCACAACTTCAGAAAGTTATGCGACTCAGACATGTGATTAAGGCAGCAGCCAAAAATACTACTACACCAGCCCACCCCACGCGTGACGCTCCCGCTGGGAATGGACCCCAAGGAGCTCCGCACGTGGTCTGTCAGGGCTGCGCTCACGCAGAACTGAAGAGCTTAGCCCCAAAGCCAGCCAAGAAGACGGAAAAGGAGCTTAGCCAAAGGCATCGCAGTTACAAACAATACTGCCTTTCATTTAATTATTTTTTTAAAATGTTTCTATTGATTTCAGAGAGAGAAAGGGAGAGGGAGAGGGAGAGAGAGAGAGAAACAACAGTGATGAGAGAGAATCATCGATCTGCTGCCTCCTACTGGGGATCGAACCTGCAACCCATGCATGTGCCCTGACCAGGAATCAAAGCGTAACCTCCTGGTTCATGGTTCATGGATCAAGGCTCAACCACTGAGCCACACCGGTGGGGCAGAATGACCCCTTTAAAAGAGAAGCAAGGAGGCGTGGACCAGAGAGCCCTGCTGGGGCCCCCCTACAGAGTTTTTTCCCTAATGAAGCTAAGCCAATGGGTTTCCTGACTGAAGCGCCCCAGTTGTTAAGGCCCATGGACTGCCGAGAGAGGGCATGACGGTTCTAACACCCCCTCGCAGATATAGTGAGCTTAAATGAGAATATTACATAACGGAGACATTGTGTTAATATTCATTCTCACGCTCTTGCTTTCCATTTCCTATAGATGGTTTTGTCTCAGTATCATCGCCACCAGACCTCCATGGTACCTTTGTGTATGTTTCCCTGGGACTGTTACTTATTATTTTGGCACTAAATAAGCAATTCTGGACTTGCCATATTTTCAAACACCTGCCTAGTGGACCAGTTAGCAATACCTGCATAACTTACACATTGGGAAACCTAAATCCTTACAGATATAGCTCAAGTATGTGTTAGTTTTTTTCTTTGTGGAATATTCAAAGAAAAAACTGCCATTCGGTAAATATGTTTCAATCCTCTTGTTCTCCTACTCTGACACATCCATTAGAAGTCCCCCCCACCCTGGCACCCTGGGGCCCGCTCCTTTTCAGGTCAGGTGCTCCGGGACTGTGTGATTGTCCACACTGAGCCACGCTGTCCTGGTTAAGGGGAGGCTGTAGATTTTCTTCTCATCTCAAATGTCAGGAAGTTCTCTCCGCCCAGCCCCGCCCCCTCAGGTACAGGATGCTCCTCTACCTGCGCCCCAGGGGCTGCTGGCACACTCACCGTGGCTGGGCTTCGGTGCTGTTCTATTCTTGGTCACCTGTCCTGTTTCTCCACCTGACTGTAGCGCCAAAGACAAGAACTATCTGCAGCTTGTCATGCTCATAATCCCGGACCCAGCACAGTGGTCTAGTACACAGTAAACACTCAATATATAATGATTAAGTCACGGTAATGACTAACAATGAAATCTGATATTTACTGGAAACATACTTACAGGCTAGGCACCATGCTAACCAAATTAACCAGTACTTCATGGAACTCTCAAGAAAACTCTGTGGAGAATGTGCTATGATCATTTGCATTTTCTAAGTGAGGAAAACTAGGCTGAGAGGGTGAAGCAATTCGGTAAAGTAACATTCCACATGGCAAAGCTGGGATCCGCCTCAGGGCGGTCTGGATTCACAGTCGGTGCTCATGACCTCGACGACCACACCGACGAGTAAGTGAATGATGTGCATGAATGAATGAAAGAATATGGAAGATTCATGTATCTAAAGAGGAATCCCATTCATTAGACAGGTAGGCTAAGGTAGAAAGTGAAACCAAAGAAGGTGCTTGGCGGGGGGGCGGCGAGGTGGGGAGACACGCAGTCACAGGCGTCACCATTATTGGAAGGAGCAGCTCCATCTCAATGGCCCGGGGATCCCAGCACCGGCTGCATCTCCCGAGTCACAGTGTACGCACTGCATGGGGGCAGTGCCTCTGGAAACCTCCCACATCGCTCCGTTTATGATAGGAATAATTTGGACTTTTAAAAAATTGAGATTAACATTTATTTCTGCATATAAACTCAGGGTGACTATCTCTCTGATGTTTAGTAAGAAATACCTACTGCTAAGACGGACAGTTTTATTAGCAATTCCATTTTTATTCACTGCTATAACAGTAGAGTGGTAAGTAATCACCTATGACTACATAAAAGGAACACTTGCAAAAAGGCATGGGTTCCCTACCCATCAGTAATTATTTAGTAAAAAATAACTATCCTTCTTTAGCAAGAAGCAGCTAAGGATGCCCAGACAATATTAATAATTTCTCTGATTGACAGCACAGGGAAATGGATGCTTGTTCACAAAAGCCTCTCAGTTGGTGTACCTACACTGTGGGACAGACCCTGGGCGCTTCACGTCACTGCTCCGGCCCTTACTCAGTGACAGCACTGGCCAGGCCTTAAATACTCCACAGGAAGCGCCATGCCGCATGCTTCGGAAAAACGCAGGGTTCACATGAAACCAGGCTGAAGGGCCTCAGGGACTCCTGCCAACCTCCGCCCAGTCCCCGCCAGCCAAGGCCAGTGCACGAACAGCCACAGGTCCTCCAAGCCATCACTGTCCGCTCCCATCGGCATCCGTGGTCTAGAACGTTCTCTGCATCCATCTTTTTCAAGGCCCGGGACACACATTTGCATTCTGTCCTTCCCTCTAGGACAGCATACACTCCTAGCTCCTGCCCTGCCCGATGCCCTGCGTCAGTCACGGCCTCCACACACAGCCCCCCAGACACCAGGCTTCCGGCCTCACAGCCCCGCAGCGACCGTGACAGGGAGGCTCCTCAACAAGCATCGTTCCCGTCATATTGGGAAAAGCTCGATTTGGTTCTGTTTTTCTTCACGTAAAGCTTCATCTGCCAGAACATAATGTGATCCAAGTATCTGTGATTGGCTAACATTGATTTCCGTATCTTCAATAGCACATTTAAAACGAACAGCTTTAAAAGGTTTAATTTCTAGTGATTCGATGGATTGTTTTTTGCTAATACAAGGGAGTGATTTTCAATAAATTAGGGTGCTTTGGCATTTTACAAGATAGCTGCTGGACTTGAAGGACCCTCACTTGACCAGTCCCCCAGGAGAGGAGTGCCTGAGGCTCTGCCTGTGCCCTGGCCACATCCACGCCTACA